AGTGTGAACCCAGGCATAAGGTTATTTTTCTATTCCATTAAGCTAACAGTTCAGCCTTTACAAGAACAAGGCTGAGAAAGCCCCATTGCATTGCAGGAAGGGAAATTCTTACACATAGCAACAAAGTCTTAGATTAGACTGACTCGTGTACTTGGAAGTTAGGTACCATTCACACCTACCCAACATAATGTTGTGTTATACCACCCAGGATACATTCACTGCAGTGAGCTGCATTGACAGAGTAATGATTATGCATGTTTTTTGACATCATAACATGTAGTAGGAGCCTGCTAAACTCAATGGATGAACAAAAAACACACAATATGGGTTGGCACGTGTTAAGACACATGAGAATGCACTTGTATAAGTGAGCAGCCTAAAAGCTTGGTGGAACCATATAGATTGTTTTTTTTTCTTAAAGTGGTTTTAAACCCATTAACAACATGTAATCTGTTGCAGTTTACCAATTCCTAAACATGGTGGCTGCAGTAGTTTGTTTTTTCCTTTTTGTTCAGCTGGTGATCCAGCCAGTACGTCTGTTGTTTTTCAAAAGAACAAGCTCTCTTGCAGATGTATCAAGTTGCAGAGATGTTATAAACTATTTACCACTGACGGGTGGTTACAATGATCAGCTTTGTGTGTGAGCTGGAGTTTGTCTTCAATTTGTTATTGTATTTAAATCTGCTAGTTCATCTAACATTTCCCTTCTCCCAGACTGATAATGCTGCTGTCCCAAGGTGGCTCCATTGCTCCCCCATCCAGAGTAGAGACACCCTAAGACAGAAAATTTGTTACTGACTGAATCATCAGGTGAAAACAAAGAAAAAAAGCCTAAAAAATAAAACAAATGCAGCCACCAATATCTAATGATTGGTAAGCTGCAATATTTTATATTTTTGTTTTTGGGTTTAATACCGCTTTAAGTGAAATGTTATAGTTGTTCTAATATGAATATACAATTAGAGATTATACCTAGATTAAATACAAAATATGCTGGTAACTCATGAGTTTTATATTTCACTAATAAGTAAATACAAAATTGGTGTCACCCTCTGAAGCTTAAATGTGCTATTTCTGTTTTGGTTACAATGAAAATGTTTTGCCTTTTTTGTACAAAAATGGGCATCGTTCTTTTTTATGTTCAGTTCAATGAGTAACTCATTCAGCCAAGAGAGTGCGTTCTATGAAATCTAATTATTTCTAGACACCATCAAACATTGGCTGACTACAGCTTCTGACATTACAGGTTATCTCACAGCACGCTTGTGTGATAGATGAATCTCCAAGGTTTGCTATCCTCTGCTAAGGCAAGGTTGTTGGATGCATGGTTCTTGTCTGTTGCTGGCGTTCTGTTGGGGAAGAGAATTGACAAGCCTATCCTCCAGTAATACATATGTTCTGTAACCCTTGCAGAAGCTCTTTACACTGAAAGTAAATCTTTGCACCTTTGCTATGTGTTAAAATACACGTCAGCTGTAATGGTGCTAAAAATTAGATCTTTAGAACATTCTGCTTTAGCATCTGAATATCTGATACTGGAAACTTCAGCAGCTTCTATTTGGAATAGAAAAAGGCATATTACCACCATAATATCACCCAAACCGTACTCTCCGCTCCTCGCACGACCTCCTGCTCTCCAGCTCCCTTTTCTCCTCCCATGCTCGTCTCCAGGACTTCTCCAGAGCTTCCCCCATCCTCTGGAATTCTCTACCCCAATTTATCAGACTATCGCCTACTCTGCTCACTTTTAGGCGATCTCTGAAAACCAATCTCTTCAGGGAAGCCTATCCTGCCGTCAGCTAATAATGGAATCTTCTACTTTTCCTACCAGTCCATCCCCCACAGTTACTACCTTTTGTACCACTAGCCCCTCCCCCCTGGATTGTAAGCTCTGAGGAGCAGGGGCCTCCTATCCCACTTGTATTGAACTGTATTGTTCCTGTATTGTCTCCCGTTATATTGTAAAGCGCTGAGCAAACTGTTGGCGCTATATAAATCCTGTATAATAATATTAATAATTTTACATTATGGGGTTGGTTTGCTAAAGGAAAATAGGCTGTTAAAGTGATTTTTAAAAAAATGGTTTTGCGCAGGGCAGCCTCAATCTTCCTCTTCTGTGGTCCCCTGCCGGCATTCCTGGCCCCTCCCTCCTGCCGAATGTCGCAGAGCAAGCAGCTTGCAGTGGGGGCACCCAAGCAGGCTCAGTCCCGAGCCGCTGCACTGCATGCCCATTCACAGATAGAGCTGTGTCTCGACCCCACCCCCTCTCTCTCCTCATTGGCCAATGGCTCCCACTGCTGTATCAGCCGATGAGGAGGGAGAGTCCCCGGAGAGCCGAGGCTCTCATGCACATTGCTGGATTGCGATGGAGTTTAGGTAAGTATTTGGGGGGACTGCTGCACACAGAAGGTTTTTTACCTTAAAGTGTTACTAAATCCAGTACCCTACATTCACTATATCTGGTCTCCCACAGTACACACTACATGGAAATGCAATTATTTTAGTAAATATAAACTGCTAAATACCTTTTCTCATCGGCAGTTGGAGCAGTCTTGTGACTTCCCTCAGTGTTCAGCTGAGCACTGGTTAAAGCTTGTAGTAGAGTAGAGTTTTCTTTCTGCTCTAGGAGGATGCAGAACGCTTGACCTCTGTCTGAACAGTGTGGATTAGCCCTGTGCTGATCACATGCACTCTCCAAAGAAAAAAAACCTCTCTGGCAATATCCACAATACTGAGCATGTGCAAAGTGTATCCATACATATGTCTTATCAGTAGATAAGAGGGGAGCACTGGAAGAAGGGAAGGATCAGAGAAGTCAGGATCAAACAGCATTTTTACACAATGCAGAGCAGTCACAAGACTGCTCTAAATGCCGATGAGAAAAGGTATTGAGCAGTTTATGTTTACTAAAAATAATTGCATTTCCATGTTGTGTGTACTGTGGGAGACCAGATATAGTGAATGCAGGGTCCTGGGTTTAGTAACACTTTAAAGTATGGGAATACAAACTATATATTGAAATTCTGGATGGGTGTCACTCACTATGTAGGATGAAGGTGCTGTAGGGGGTTAGGAGACTCTGCAGCAGACTTAGTGGTCTGACAAGAAATAGCTATGTTTGACCTGCTTTGTCTACAGTTCAAATGCCCCTTAATAGGACATGCTGCATCCAAAGAAACACTGCACAACAAAGCAGGTCAAACGCAGCCTCTGAACTGCCATCCATATTTTTCAAAGTAAAGGAGATTTTGCTGACCTGTGTTCGATGTTCTCCCCAAACGCCTGCCGACATGAGCCCTAAGTGTTATACAGTGTTGTAATATTGGTTAGACTGACAGATGCCTATTAAAGCCGCTGCTTATTGCAGCCATACATTCACATGGACGTTTGGAAGCTTAAACATTTGCCTAGCCTAATATCTTGGCATTTTTATGCACCCAGGGAGCTGCAAGTGGAGCATACAGCTGGTCATAGAAGTCAATGGCTGTACGTAGGGTGTACTCAAGCAAATAGAGAAGAGAGGTAGCAGCACCACTCTAAGTGTAGACAGTTAAAATCAGGCAGATTTAATGGTAAAATTGCACTCACATAGGTAGGTAACAGGTAGGCATGTCAATTAATGGAGGTCCAGTGGGAGCATCAGGTCCTTAGGCCACGCTCTGGGTGTTTTCCCATCGCTGCAGTGGTGTCCAGGGCTCGGGGAGTACCAGAGAGACGCAGGGAGGCTCACAGGGATGATGTCTCTGCATGGACTGGGTTTCCAAGATGGCGCACGTTTGGAGCATGCTCACTCCTTCGTCAGGCCGAAGATCCATCTACACTTAGAGTGCGCGCTGCTGTCTCTCTTCTCTACCTGCATTAGGAATATCTTCAAACTCTTACAGCCGGCTGCCTCCTCGGACAAGTTCACACTACTATAAGCCCCCCACTACAGATGGACTTGGACACCACCTCCACATGGACCTTCTACTAACCCCCATTGCTGATGGTCCATCCCCGAACGCACACAGGGTAGATGCCTCTTAGCGCTACCACCCCCCACTCACCTCTGAATGTACTCAAGCAAATGTCTGTGCTTTTGTACGAGTGTAAACATGGTGTGCGCGTGGGACATATTCCCCCTGAACAATGAGCCACTTGTGGCTCCATAGGCAAGAAAAACGCTGGGATTTTAAACTGGGCATATGTTTAATCCTCCAAATGTCCAAGTGCATGAGGTCTATAGTTTAGAAAGCTGCTAGTCCATATTTAAAAGATGTCATTCTCAATGCAAAATGAAATAATTTCAGGAGTTTTAAGTTGCATTCTTTTGTTTGGATAAAAATAATGAACTTGTTGTGTGCCTTGGTGTTGATGTATGTTGATGCTTTAATGGTACCACCAAAGACAAAACTCTTGCGGCTCCTCATACACACAGAGATGCTCAGTCCTAATCAGGGGCGGACTGACAACTCATGAGGCCCCCGGGCAATAGGGGATCATGGGGCCCCTGTGTCCTTGCCCAAACTTAAAAAAGCCTATGAAAAAGGTATCAGGGGCATCTCATGGGGCCCCCTACTGACCCCAGGCCCTCAGGCAGTGCCCGAGTTTCCAAATGGTCAGTCCGCCCCTGGTCCTAATCACTACTAGCTTAGTTGGGGCTGTTGAGCATGCATTAATACACAGCAGTTGCTGTTTTGCTGTGCCTGGGAAATATTTATACTGGTTTACAGTAGCTTATGCATCTTAAATATGTATTGAAGTTACATGTTCATGAAAATCATTAACAAAATTCCTAAAATCATGAAATCTGAACGTTTCGTGGCCTGAAAGGTGCTGCTTGGGCTTGACTTGTTTAGCAAAGTATGTGCATATTTCATAATATCAGGTAAGTGTTGCTGTGATCAGTTACAGCGTGATTACCCTTCTACTGCTGCAAAGATCCAGCTAAGTTGTTAATCAAAAAGAGTGAACCTTCTGGGCATGCATTCAAATGTTCAATTAAGGCTCCTCGCAGATTTGCATCCTAGCTCATGCACTGTAGCACAGGCTTAGTCTTCACTGAATTTCTTCCTTAAACCATAGCAGAATGTTTTTTTGACAAACAAGAAATGAAAATCTAGTTTTTTTTTTAAATAATTTGAAGAGAGTGTTAACATGTGTGGTAAGTAAACGACAGGCTTCTAGGTAGTATTTTCTTTTATCTTTGTGAGCTGCAGTAAGGGAAGAACAGCGCGTGCTTAGATGTTAGAAGTAGTGTCAGCAGTGCAGACTTGCTGTATATAACAAATCTAATTCTCCACGAACAAAATAGCATGATAACAAGGCTCACATTTTTGGAAAGGCCACATAGGTGGCTGCCTACAGTAGAGAATTTTTAGGGAATGACAGGTTTCCTCTTGTTCCTTATCTCATTCCTTCAATCCTAAAAGACTGGTCATGCATTCACAAGTGATGGAAACCATCTGAGCACAGACGTGCAAAAAATAAGAAATGCACAGGTGTATTCTACATCAGCCTTTCTCAACCTTTTCAACACAGAACACTTGAAAGAACTCATGATACATTAGTGTGATGGTCAGTGGGAAGAATGCTCCTTACGCTTGTGGCCATTGGGAAGATCAACCCCTTATAGATAGCTAAAAAAGATCAATGGTGTCAGTGGAAATTTACCGGTGAGGCAAAAAAGTGCCCATTACCCTAGGCATCCCTAGAAACTTCTGGAGGAACCCTGGTTGAGAAACCATGCTTCCTCAACCTGAATTGACCAGCTAGGGTGGAAAATTATCAGCACCAACCGACAGCAATTACTGTAGATACTTTGTTTATAAATGCCGGTTCACATATATGCGGATTGGATGCGGTTTAAACCGCATCCAATCTGCATGACATATGAAAATACATAGCGTCCTCTGCTGCCCGTCCACATATGTCTGGTGCACTGGCAGTGCAGATTCAGTGCGGTTTGAAAAAGAGTCATGTACGATTCAGGTGCGGATTACAGGCTATTGAATCGTTTTTAAACTGCATAAGTGTGAACATGATAAAATCCTGAGCTAATCCTGTTCTGAACCTGACATGAATTGCTGAACAACTACTGTATCAATTAGCTGTGAAACCTGAGCTTCAATCCGCACCGCACATGTGCGAATCAGTTCTAAGTGTGGTGTCATTTAGAGCAATCAGTTTATGAGATTACATGGTGGAAACAGAGATGATCTTAAAGCGGAGCTCCATCAAAAGGGGAAATTTCACTTTAACGACTCATCCCCGGCTCTCTGTTAAGGATTATCACCTTTGGGGAGCAAGTACCCAATTTTGACAGGTACCCACTCCCACTTCCACTCTGACCGCCTAGGCGATCGTAAGCGGAGGTTCTCCTCCTCCCCACCCCCCTGCACCTCTTACAGTTCTTGCTTGGCTGCCACTGAGTGTTGTAGAATGCTTTTCTCTTTTTTCTTCTTGATGCCATTTTGTTGACCTGCATTTGACAGGGGTGTTCTCTGTCTGACTCCAGCTGCATATTATGAACCAATATACAGTTGTGTTCAAAATAATAGCAGTGTGTTGAAAAAGGTAAATAAAGCTCAAAATCCTTCTAATAGCTTTTATTTCCGTACACACAAATGCATTGGGAACACTATACATTCTATTCCAAATCAAAACATGAAGAAAAATATATCAAATTTGTGTTTTTCCTCTAAAAAAATTGAAGAAAAGTGAATATTAAACTGTTAAAAAAAAAATAGCAGTGTTTGTATTCTTCTTTACAAACTCAAACATTCACTATATAAACTGAAAAATGTTTGAAGATTTTGCTTTCCTTTGAATCACTTAATGAATATTTAGTTGTATAAGCACTGTTTCTGAGAACTGCTGTACATCTGTGTTGCATGGAGTCAACCAACTTCTGGCACCTGTGAACAGGTATTCCAGCCCAGGATGATTGGACTACATTCCACGGTTCTTCTCTATTTCTTGGTTTTGCCTCAGAAAACTGCATTTTTGATGTCACCCCACAAGTTTTCTATTGGATTAAGATCCGGGGATTGGGCTGGCCACCCCATAACGTCAATCTTGTTGGTCTGGAACCAAGATGTTGCAAGTTTACTGGTGTGTTTGGGGTCGTTGTCTTGTTGGAACACCCATTTCAAGGGCATTTCCTCTTCAGCATAAGGCAGCATGACCTCTTCAAGTATTCTGATGTATTCAAACTGATCCATGATCCCTGGTATGTGATAAATAGGCCCAACACTGTAGTATGAGAAACATCCCCATATCATGATGCTTGCGCAACCATGCTTTACTGTCTTCACAGTGTACTGTGGCTTGAATTCAGTGTTTGGGGGTCGTCTGTCAAACTGTCTCCGGACACTAGACCCAAAAAGAACAATCTTACTTTCATCAGTCCACAAAATGTTGCACCATTTCTCTTTAGGCCAGTCAATGTGCTCTTTGGCAAATTGTAACTTCTTCAGCACGTCTTTTTTTCAACAGTGGGACTTTGCGGGGCTTCTTGCAGATAGCTTGGCTTCACATAGGCGTCTTCTAATTGTAACAGTACTCACAGGTAACTTTAGACCTCTTTGATCTTCCTGGAGCTGATTGTTGGCTGAGTCCTTGCCATTTTGGCTATTCTTCTATCCAATCAAATGGTAGTTTTGCGCTTTCTTCCACGTCTATCAGGTTTTGGTTGCCATTTTAAAGCATTTGCGATCATTTTAGCTGAGCAGCCTATCATTTTCTGCATTTCTTTGTATGTTTTCCCCTCTCCAATCAACTTTTTAATCAAGGTACGCTGTTCTTCTGAACAATGTCTGGAACGACCCATTTTCCTCAGAATTTCAGA